GAAAGTATGATTCAAGAAATAAAAGAAGTAGGTATGAATGTTGCGAAAGGACAGGAAGAAATAAAGAGGAAGATAGATGGAAGAAAGGACGGCGGGGAGACTAAAAACGAAAATACAAAAGAAATAGAAAGAGTGAAAGAGATGGAAGTAAACATTAGAAAGGAAATAAAAGAGAGTAAGGAAGGAATTAAAAAGAAGATATGTGAGACGAGGAATGAAATCTTAGAAAGGATGGATAAAATAGAAATAAAGGAAGAACAAAGTGGAACACAGTTAAATACGTATGCAAACGTCACAAAAGGTCAGAAACATCAAGTACCGCAGACAATGTATTCCATTATGGTCACCTCGAAAAATGAATTAGATACAGCGGAAGAGGTAATACAAAAGACCAAAGGAATACTGAGACCCGAGGAGACAAAGATCCAAATAGATAGAATAAGAAAGATAAAGGACGCTCGGATAATAATTAGCTGTAAGAAGGAAACCGAAACTCAGGAAATAAAAGAAAGACTGGACAAGGAAAAGGAAGTAGAGGCGCAAAGGGTAAAGAACAAAAATCCCTTAATAATCATAAGAGACGTCAACTATAAGATGAAAGATACCGAACTAATGACGGCACTCAAAAACCAAAATCCCAGGATCTTTGCGGACCTCGAAATAGGAGAAGAAGACTTCAAAATAAAGTACAGGAGAAGGACAATACACACAGACAAGTGCCATGTAATTGCCCAAGTTACACCAGGAATATGGAAGAGGATGGTGTCCGAACAGCACCTCTACATTGAGATGGAGAGGGTGAGGGTAAACGATCAGTCCCCCCTCATACAATGTACGAGGTGCCTCAAGTTCGGACACGGGAAGAAATTTTGTCCGGACAGTGTGGACAGATGCAGCCACTGCGGGGAACTACACCTGCGGGCAGAATGCCCAAACAGAAAAGCAGGAGTTCCCCCGCAGTGTTGCAACTGTACACACGCGGAAATACCCGAAAACGACCACAACGCATTTAGCGACATATGTAAAACGCGTCAAAAATGGGACAGCCTTGCCCGCTCAACAACATCTTACGAGTGAGGATCAAGGCTGCCAAACAGGAATATACAATGAAAAAACACAGAACACTCAGAAATACACGAAACACAAACACAACGCACAAGACAAGCACAAACACAAAAACGGAAATAAAAAACAAATACACATGAACTCGGAGAAAATGATGATCATTCAAACCGAGTTCAAAAACAAAAACACAATAAAATATAGAAGAACACATTATGGAAATGCGGACCTCTATATAAACACTGCACAAAACACGAATATATATAAATGTATATATAAAGCAAAACAAACAGAACAAATACAAAATAAAAAACACAAACCGGATTGGACAAAACATAAAATGAATAACAAACCAAAAATGCATAAGAAATAGGAACACTAAATATATTGTAAAATATATAAACAGTGACCTTAAACAAGAATAAAAACGAATAATAAAAATAGGAAACCGGAATAAGGACAAAACAAACTGGACAAGAACTTGAATCATAAAAATAAATAAATGGACAAATAGGAAGGAAATAATGAAAAGGGACGGAATAAGTAGAACGTAAGAAATCGAAATAGTATAGAAAATTGTTAGAATATGTAAAACAAAATTGAATATGTATAAGAAAACAATGTAGAAATAAGAAGAAATGTTAAACATAAAAGAATGTAATAGAATAAGTAAAAATGAAACAAAAATGTATAACAATGTAGTAAATAAGTTAAAAATGTATTAGAATAATAAGTAAGAAATGTAAACGGACTAAGAAAATACGAAAATAAAGACCTTGTGTACGTGTTGAACCTAAATAATTAGAAATAAGCAAATAAAAAAGAAGTAGAACAGGAAAAATTAGGAACGGCACTCCCAGCCGAAAGAATGAAAGAGAACGAATGAAAGAAAGATAAAGTATGCAGAATGAAAGTATGTATAAAAGATAGAACTGGAACGAAAGATAAGAATAGTGAATAAAAAAGGCCTGCTACTAAGTGGGGACAAGTGTAGGGCCCGGCCCGAAATGTAGGCCAGGCATTAAAAAAAAAAAAAAAAAAACCTAACCTCGTGGAGTTACGTCCCGCCCGCCGACCGGAACGGATCGAAAACGTAAAAGCTCCCCACGAAAAAATTCATAACTTCGGCATCTTTGCAGTTATCACAAAGTGCGATATACCAAAACGTGCGCGAAAGTGTGAGTGAGCCCTACACGGCTATAAAAAGTGCGCGAAAATCGGACAAGTGTACGCGAAGTTATTAAGGAAAAACAAATTTCCATACACGTGGTTTTCACAAAAAACACAAGTTTTTAGTTAAAACAAGAGGAAACTTTAACCAGATTTTGGTGAACGAGGTGTCGTCTGACGCGCAATTGCGCGCCCCACCAGGCGAGCCGGGCAGCCCTCCAGGACCTCGTGGATCCAGGGAGTTATTAGGGTTTTCCTACATAACCTTAAACCACGAGGTCGGAGATCCAGCAGACCAGCAGCCACGCAGACGAGGTGGGAAGAGACAGCACGTCGAGCCAAGCCACGGGACACCTCGGGCCTAAAAATCGGCCCACAAACAACGGAGCTACAAAGGGGTGAAGTTTGAAAAAGTTTAATTTTAAGTTAACTTTAAATTTAGTATAGAGGCAGTTTATTTTATTAAACTGCCAGAATAGAGGAAACCAAGGCGCTTCTTTTGACACCCCTCCCGCGAAGATCCACTGGATACATCCAGGGTTATCCACCACCAAAGAAAAGGGTGTATTCTTCCCCTGCCGCTGGAGACCACAGGAATGAAGCTGCAACTTCAAAATTTTTATATATTATATGTTTAGACATAAGCTTAAATTGTGTAAATTTTTAGATTTTTAACCCCAGTAGTTTCTGAGAAATAGCGTTTTTACCCCTTTTTCACCCCCTTATAAAGAATCTATAATATCTGGAGTGCTACTGACACCAGGATTGGTTCTATAACCCTCCTGGCATAGTTTTGGACCCCAAAGACCGACCCGATAAAGCCCGTAACTTAAAAGTTGACAAAAGTCGGCCATCTTGGACCCAGTGGGCCGAAACTTTGCCCCGCCATAACTCTTTGGTTTTTCAAAATTTCAAAACGCGGTTTTCGGAATATTGTTTGGCATTAAATCCCCTTGGCCCCTTCAGGGCCCAAAATTCAAAAATCAAAAATTTTGGACTTTTTAATTTTCCAAAAATTTTCGGACCCAAAATTCTTTCGGACCCTTGTTTTGGAACGGGATTCCTATAGCCCTCCTTCCCCCCAACCTAACATCGAAATCCCCACGCGGCTGCGACACGTATTGGCGGAGATATTAATTTCCAAAAAGTGGTCGGCCATCTTGGTTCGGCCATTTTGGACATTTTGGAATTTCCATATCTCCGTCAATATTGGACGTAGAAAGCAGGGATTTCGGATCATTTCCGTCCCCATATCCCATCTACACATCCCATAGGGTGAGGTTCGGATTGGAGGGGTTGAACTCAACCCCTCAATTTTGAGATCGCCCCGGCAAGACCTCACTTTCCCTCCCACACCACTCCAAGTCCCATCCTTGTGCGACGAATAGGGGTAGAGTTATAGACCTCCAAAGTTTGGGGGGTCACTTCACCCCCTTTTTTTGGGAGGCAGTAGCTCGGGCAACTTTCGTCGTACGAGAACGGGATTTCCTGTATATATAACCCCCTGCCAAACACTACCAGACCCGTAGGGCAAATTTGCCCTAGCTCTAGGTCCCGGGGCAAATCCATCTGACTCCGGAATCAGGTGCGGCAGAACCTCCTCTCCCACATACCAAAAAGTCCCAGTTCTACAGGGTCAATAGTTTCGGAGATATCGGCACTCGTCCCTTTCGGGCCGAGTTTTTTGCCGATTTTCAAAGGGGTATATCTCCGAAACTACTTATCGCAGCGGGGCAAGCGAGGTATCCACGAGTAGAGCTCGGGAAGCACTATCGGACAGCGTGGGACGCAACCTTATAGACCCGGAGTTTCCGGATAAAAGACCGGAAAACACAAAATTTTTTCTAACTTCGCCAAATTTAGCGAGAAAATTTTGAAAAAATTAGTATATATGCAAAATAAAACATAAAAGACGAAGCAAATAGATTTAGGACAATATTTATATATATACAATAAAAAACTTTGACTTTTTATTTTGGCCTAAGTTTTATACTTTTATTTAAAAAATTAAAACATTTGACAACGATCCCTATTGGGACGTGTCTTAGCAAGTAAGAACTGATATAGGACGCATCGAGCTAGGCTCTGCGACAGAAACAAACAGAACACACATACGGAACACAACACACAACACATAATACAGACATATATCATACACCGACACCAAAATAACAATAGAAACAATACTTACAAACACGCCAAACAGGACCAAGCAGCGGAGCTGCACACTGACCGGCATCTGGAACGAAACAAAACAAGTATTAGGATACATTTCATTAAAATAAGTATAACACAAATATACACAAAACACTAAATATTTATACACAAACACAATAACACGAATAAACATTGACTCAAAACATTACCTAGCTGCAACAATAAAATAATAAACCCCGAGCAGTATATAAGAGTGACTGGGAATAAAAGATAAAACAATGATAAGAACACCAAGGACCTCGCCGGGGGCGGCCCAAAATCCGGACAACAGACCAACTCCATCACCCAGAAAAAGCCTGGGCAGTATAACACCTACGCATGCTCAAGAATGGGGGCCGGATATGGACAGATTTTGGAGTGAGATACCAAATCTATACAATCGAATAACAAAGGCCTTAGAAATTGTTGAAACACAACAGCCCCTGAGAAGAGACGTAAAAGAAAAATTGATAGTGACCTTAAGAAAATCTAAGTAAAAACTGCAAAATATGGAGGGAACATCAGAAGAAATACGAAACTACCTTGAACAGCAAGAAATAAGATACACGAAGATGGAAAGGGATGTGATCGAGCTGAAAAAAGACAACGAAATAATGGAAAGAATGAATAAAATGGAAGAAGAAAATAGGAAGACAAATGACCATATTAGAAGAGAGATTGAGTCAATGATGACGGACTGGAAATACAGGATGGAAACCGAGGAAAGCAAGAGAAACTCGCACATAGTGGATAATAAAAAGCTATACGAAGTTGCAATGGATACGTATGGGAAAGTGGAAGTAATAAGACAAAGTATGGGAAAAGTGACACCGGCAACAAGCGAACAAGAAAATACATCAACAATCGACACTAAAGTAATAAACGAAAAGATAGAAGAAATGGAGAAAAAGGTAATATCGGAAATAATAGATGTGGGATGTAGGATAAGAGAAAAGGTAGAGGAAACAACAGAGGAGACAAGATATATAATAGAGGAAACAATAAAGGTAGCGATCAAGGAAGGAAAAGAGGAAAACATCGATTTAGGACAAATAACAGACAGTATAGAAGAAGCAAGGGAACGCATAGAAGATAAAATAGTACATACAAGGGAAGAACTAATAACTGAAATAAAGGAGGAACACAGAAAGACAAAAAAGGAAACAAAACAGTACCATACGTCAAATGAAAAGACCAACGAAAAAGAGGCTGAAGAACTAGCCAAAAAAGTGGTCGAACACCTAAAAATAAATACGCCAACATCGAGTATCACAAATCCACCTGACACCTATGCGGACATGACAAGGAAAAACAAAATAATGATACCCACTACGACACATTCAGTACTGGTGTCATCAGAAGAACTAATGGACATCAGTGAAGATGTCATTAGAAAGACCGAAGAGATCCTAAAACCCAGAAATGGGGAGGTGAAGATCGATAGGATCCGCAAGGTAAAGGACCAGAAAATCCTCATTGGATGCAGCAGTAAAGAGGAAATCAAGAAGATAGAGGAGAAACTAAAGAAAGGCAAAAACATCATAGTAGAAGCAGTAAGGAATAAAAACCCTCTAATAACTATAAAAGACGTCAAATTTAAAATGAAAGATGAGGACATTCTGGACGCCCTGATTAGACAAAACAACGAAATATTTAAACAGGACCAAGAAAAAGAGGACATAAAAATAAAATTTAGGCGCAAAGCAAGAAACCCGGAACGCTGTCACCTGATCCTGCAAGTAAAACCGGAAATCTGGAATAAATTAACAACACAGGGGCGAATATACATGGATATGGAACGACTAAAAGTCGAAGACCAATCGCCCCTGATTCAATGTACGAGATGCCTCCAGTTTGGCCACGGACGGAAATTTTGTACAGAGAGTGCGGATAGATGCAGCCACTGCGGAGGCCTCCATCTCAGAGCGGAATGCCCGGAGAGGGAGAGGCCACCGAGGTGCTGCAACTGTGCGCACGCCCAGCTGGAGGACATCGAACACAACGCGTTTAGTCGAGAATGCAGGATCAGGGACAAATGGGAATATCTTGCGCGCTCAACCACAGCGTACACATAAACAGGTACAACACATAGTAAAAACAACACACAAACACCTTACAAAACAACAACAATATCACACACAAAACAAAAAGATTAAAAGTAAAAAGAAATCTTGCATTGCAGAAAAACATTCTTGGAATGGAAAACTGGAATGCAAGGCATTTCCAAAACACACAAACACAAAGAACTAATACATACATAATTCAGAGGAATTATAATGAACATAATGAAATCTGAAAATAAAAATATAACAACAAATCGAATGAAAATAAAATATAGGAAAAGTTAGGATTACAGAAATTTATGATAAGCATAAATTCAAGTAACCTGCCTAACACATAGGATAAAATAATAATGAGGAGTATTCAGGATAGACGACAAAGAAAATAGTAGGATAGAAAATAGATAGGAAGAATAATAAAAAAAGGGGTAAAAATTAATTAGAAATAGAAATACACGTACTATAATAGAATAAGATAGAACATAGATAGATAAGATAAGATAAAAATGTATTAGAAACAAAATAAAAATATAATAAATAAAGAAGTGTCAAACAAACCGGAAAAGACATAATGTAAAATAAGGTAAATATAAGAAATGTATAACAAAAGAAATAAACGAATAAGTATGTAAAATAGAATAAGATAACCAAATGTTACGAAGAACTTAGATGGATAAGATAAGAAAGAAAATGTACTAGAAAACAAAATAGAAATGAAAGACAAAGTAAATATAAATGTAAAATAAGAGAAATAAACAAATAAATTATGTAAAATAGAGTAAGACACAAATGTTATTAAGTAATAAGAATCCACATGAAATAACTGTGAGAATAAAAGGAAAATAAAACAAAAAATGTAAGATAGGATAAGAAAAAGAAGAAATGTATAAGAATAAGAGAAGAAATATGTAAATTAGAATAATTAGATATAAGATAAACAGAATGTAATTTAAATGTAAAGTAGATTAAGAAGGAAAATAAAAGTATGGTCTCTACTTATTAATAAAAATAAAACAAAAATAAAGAATAAATTAGCTAGGAAGGAATAGTTAGCGAGGCGACAATCCCAGTCACTCAAGGAATAAAAGAGAATTGAATGAAAGAAAGATTAAGTATGAGGAATGAAAGGGTAACAAAAGCGAGAACTAGAATGAAAGAGAAACAGAAATAATAAAGGCCTGCTACTTAGTGGGGTGCAGCTAGGAAGCTCGGCCAAATATGTAAGGCCGGGCATTAAAAAAAAAAAAAAAAAACCTAACCTCGTGAAGTTACGTCCCGCCCGCCGACCGGAACGGATCGAAAACAGTAACGCTCCACGTTTAAAAATACAAAAAAGTGGTTAAAACGACGACGTGATAGAACGACGTATTATATATCAAAAGATAGGTCTCGACAAGACCTATCCAACAACGTATCGGGTGTGAAAATTGGATCACAGTGAGAGAAGATATTAACCGAAAACCATAAAGTGACCACGTGTTTGTGTAAAAAAACAAGTGTTTTTCACTAATAACTTTGTAACCTACGGAGGGATTTTCGCGAGCGAAGCGTCGCCAGACGCGCGCTCGCGAGACGCATCTTTGGACATCTTGGGCTCCCCTCAACTCCGCGTGGCTTGAGAGGTATTTGGAAATAACCAAATAACCTCTCGCCTCGAGGTACCAGATCCGGGGGACCTGGGGGACTACCGACGGTGCGGCCGGAAGGAGGACGCCGAGACAAGTAAAGAGAACTTTTTCTCTAAAAATAAGAATAAGAATTAAGGAACCTACGCGATTTTCAAAATCTTAACATTCAAAATTCATAGTGTCTGGGGATTGTGGGGAACAGCTCAATTTTATCAGCTACCCGATTAGACAATCCCCAGCTCTATTCACAAAAAAATCAGCATCAACGGGGCTGTTCGGCAAGCGGAGAAATCGGCCCGGAAAAAGTGGGCCCAAATTTCTGCAGGCTCCAGAAAGCTGGTTTTTGGAGGTGGAAGTCTGGACTTTAAGTATAGTGTACATATATATTAGTATTAAGCGCAGGTGAATTTTCAGATTTTTACAATAAGTAGTTTTTAAGTTATTTAAATTTTCGTCCCCTTTTGTTTTCCCCCAAAAAACTGGTGGTAGATAGGAGTAAACAAACATTGGGAAAGGTCTTATAACCCCCTTGACACCGTAAAACACCCCAAAGAACGGCTCTCTATCTAGTATATCAAAATTCTTGAAAAAAGTCGGCCATATTGGCCCGAAGAGGCCGAGTTTTAAACCGCGAATAACTTCGCGGATTTACACGCAATTAGAACGCGGTTTTCAGATCACAGACGAGCGAACTCCCCTCTTGCCACCTCCAGACTCAAAATTTCAAAATTCAAAAATTTGACTTTATCAAAAATTTTCGGCCCCAAAAATTTTGGATTCTAAATTTGGAACGGGATCCTGATAGATCTCCTTCCCCCCATCCCAACATCGAAATCCCCGCGTTTCTGCGACGCGAATTGACCGAGATATAATTTTCCAAAAAGTGGTCGGCCATCTTGGATCGGCCATTTTGGAAAATTTGGAACACCTGTATCTCGGTCAATATCGGGCCTAGGAGACCGGGACTTCGACTCAAGTCCTTCCCCCATTCCTCTCTACATATTCCATAGGGTGGAATTCGAATTGGACGGGTTGAACTCAACCCTCCAATTTTGAGATTGCTTCGGCAAGATCCCACCCTCCTACCACCTCCACTCCAAGCCCCGACTTCGTGCGGCGAATAGGACCGGAGATATAGCCCTCCAAAGTCGGTGGGATAAGCTTATCCCAAAACTTTGAAGGGCTGTAGCAGCTGTACCACTGGTCGCAGAGGAACGGGATTTTCCAAACCTACTACCCCCTGCCAAGCCCTACCAGACCCATAGGGTGAATCACCCCTATCTAAGGCATTTGATAGGTCACAGAAAACACCTAACGCATCATGTGAATCCTCCCAGGCATTAAAAATTTCTTGTATTGTAGTATAAGAATAAGCTTATGAATCGACAACAATTTGGTTTTACAAGGGGTCGCTCGACAACCGAAGCCGGTGTCGAGTTAATATAAGAAATTTTTAATGCCTGGGAGGATTCACATGATGCGTTAGGTGTTTTCTGTGACCTATCTAAGGCATTTGATTGTGTTTTTCATGAAACATTGATTAGGAAACTGCATTTTTATGGATTTAGAGATAACTCATTGGATTTTATTGTCTCATACTTGACTGACAGAGTACAGAGGGTTGATATCAATGGCAAAAGATCCTCTGGATCGAAAATTAAGATGGGCGTTCCGCAGGGCTCAATACTTGGTCCTTTCTTGTTTTTGATTTACATAAATGACTTGCCTTATTTCGTAAGGGATGATCACGAAATAGTTTTGTTTGCAGATGACACTTCACTCTTATTTAAAATTAAAAGAGGGTTACCTCTAAATGACGATGTGAACAATTCTATCGCTAAAGTAGTACATTGGTTTAATGTAAATAATCTTCTCCTTAATGAAGGAAAAACAAAATGCTTAAAATTTGTACTACCTAATGTTAAAAAAGTAGATATAAATGTTAATGTAAAAGATAAGAACATGGGCCTTGTGGATACCACAGTATTTTTAGGAATAACATTAGATTCTAAACTACAGTGGGGCCCACATATTGATAGATTGTCGAGTAGACTTAGCTCTGCAGCATATGCCGTAATGAAGATACGTAGGTTAACTGACATAGATACTGCCAGATTAGTATACTTCAGTTACTTTCATAGTGTTATGTCGTACGGTATCCTATTGTGGGGAAATGCTGCCGACAAACAAACAATTTTTGTGCTTCAGAAAACAGCAATTCGATCAATTTATAATCTTAGGATTAGGGACTCTTTAAGGGAGAAATTTAAGGAAATAGACATTATGACTGTTGCTTCTCAATACATATACGAGAACTTAATGTACGTTCGTAAAAATATTAGTTTGTTTTCTATAAAAAGTGATGTACACAATTTTAATACGAGAAATAAAAATAAATTAACGGTGCCTGTCACTAGACTGCAAAAAGTTAATAACTCTTTCAAGGGTCTTTGTGTGCGCTTCTACAATAAGGTCCCAAGCAAAATACAACAATTAGATATCATGCAGTTTAAATCTAGTATTAAAAAAATACTTATTAAAAAAGCTTATTATAAGGTATCCGATTATATAACAGATAAGAACGCTTGGACTTGAGATGATCCAGCAACTGGATAGGTGATTACTTCTAAACTCATTATCTTGTTTCCATTATTATTAAATGATTATGTTATTATTATAAGACCATAGTTTTTTTTATCTCTGTTTATAATGTATTGATCTGGTAATGACATGGTTTTTGTAAATGTCATTACTCATATTAGAGCTGGTGAGTTACTTGCTCGTTCTTCTTATCAGCCAAAAGACGTCCTGAACGAGTGGTAGGGAAAAAATGTTGGACGATTCAATAGTACTTTTAAGAAGTCTATTTGAATAAAAATTATTTTGACTTTGACTTTGACTTTGACCCTATCTCAAGGTCGCGGGACAATACCAACTGACCTCGGAAATAGGTGCGGCAGGACCTCCACCATCCATCCCTAAAAAATCCCCGTTCCACACGACTGATAGTTTCGGAGATATCGGCACTCGTCCCTTTCGGGCCGAGTTTTTTGGCTATTTTGGCCAGGGAATATCTCCGAAACTACTCATCGTACAAAGGCAAGAGTGGTATCGGGAGATAGCGCTCAAAAGGGACTATAGGACGCAAAGGGACGTGACTATGTGGACCCGGAGTTTCCGGAGAAAAAACCGGAAAACACCGGAAACTTTGTAACTTCGTCGTTTTTCGTCGAAAAAATCGGGAAAAAATCTCAGACCATCAGGAACAACAAAGGTAAACACTTATAAAAGTTTTGAACTAAAAGACTTTAATTTACCCGAGATTTTTAAACATTATATAAACTTAACGTTTTCTCGAAAAGAAATAAAAAATTAATACAAACAGTCGAAGTTACACTAACTAAAGGACAAGTATAATCTATACTAAGCAGATTTACCCAAAATTTTAGACGAGGCTTCACTAGTATATTAATTTATAGTATTCACAAATATTTAAATTAAGTTGACTGTAACATCCTATTGGATCACGTCGTAGGCTAAGACTATATACTTTGGACATAAAGAGCTAGACTC